ACAGCATTTCCAATGTGGCTCGTGCTGCATTCATGTTTCCTACTTTTGTCGGATAAATGTTTCAAATCCACAATTCCTTGTTGGGTTCGAGCCGTGTCTCCTCCAAAAAGAAAACATGGGAAACAGAAAAGTGAATTCCTAGCTACACTTGCCAGTCCGTTTGCTGAGACCACGTAACACAAAAGATACGATTTTGTCGTTTGTTCTTTTGTATTATTTGCACATCATTTAGACGATGTGTCCCCAATCTCTTCACTTCCAATTTTTCATCCAAAGACATTAAAGAAAACTGATTATAAAGTAAATAATCCACCTTGTTCATGTTCATGCTAACGCCCCCCATTGCCACAGTTGCTCACTTCCCGCTCTCCACATTCTACTACTAACTAGCCTCACTGTACAGTAGCTACTGTGCTGTGATTGGTCGAAGGCACTGGCCTTTGGGCTGAATGAATTTAGCCCAAATGGGCAGCATATGAAGGGGGCTTGTCACGACACCTGTCAATCAAAAGTGAATGCAAGCTTACGCTACTGTGCTTGGGCTGAATGAATTTAGCCCATTCACAGGAAAAAACCCAAGATATATCATATATCCTGGGTTTTGTCTGTCACTTTTTAGTGCTGTTGCTGCTCTAGGTTCTAGCACAATTTAAAACAATGTTCTAAGGGTTTTAATAATAGTTTTTCATTTTTATTGTAAAAGGTATGGAGGGCTTAGCCCTGTTAGCCCATATATACCAGCCGTCCCTGCTAACATCTACAGTATAGTATGGGATGTAATATTATTATTTTTTTTTTTTTTGTCTAATCTCTTAGCCCTAGACCTTACAAAGACACCTTTAATTGGCATAATTATTGTTTTATTTTTTTATCAAGTTCTTCACTGAGACCTCCTGAGTCTGTTCTTCTTTGAAAGAACTGTTTTTCTTAAAGGACTTGGTTTTAGTGCCATCTTGTGATGTAGTTGCAGATCACATTTTGCTAGCTTCACCCTCCCAGTGCGAAGGAGAAACTATGGTGGCAGAGAAACGTGCAAAAAAATGCAAATGACCCTATCCGGTGCCAGTGTTTGGTTTGTCTCTTCTGGGCTACAGTGGACTGCCACTCTTCAATATGGTGGCCTCCATGGAATGTAGTCACCTGTGGTTATACTAGTAGTGATTATACAATGATGAAAACATACCTATGAATATTATATTCCATTTCTGCCAACAGATCATCCTAAATGTTGACCTTTAATTTTTGTCCAATTGCTACTTTAAATTTTCCAAATTTAGATCTATAATGTGGTATTTCAAATTGCCATTCACCATGGTCCTACCACCTCTCTTAATGTCTTTTCTTTGGATATATCTGGAAAGAGTTGTCTGACAACTAATTAAAAAAAAATGAAAATGAGTAAATCTCTAACAGTAGATTGTATCTTTTTAGTATGTGACGGTGGCAGACAGGCTTTTGTCCATTATTTTCAGTGCCTGATTGTATGAGGATGTGAAGTATGTGATTGTAGCTGGTGATGCTTGAGCTCATACAGTCATACAATAAGAGAAAATGGGAGAAAATCATAGAGTGCATTGGAAACTGGGCTGCCTGTATGTAGTTCTTTTCAGCCAAACCCTGTTTTCTAATGTTCTAAACTGTTAAACCAATTATTAAATTAAAACAGTGTTTTTAATGCAGGAGTCTGGACATGAACCCTGGACAGTGGTGTGACAGTCCTACACTTTGTACGCCCACCCCAACTAACTCCTTGCAACACCACTGCATTACATAAATATAGTGTTTTAAAATACATTGTCTTTGAACATAATCCAGGCAGGAATTACGTTGTGACGAAAACAATTTAGTAATATACAAACGTAATTTCTATGAGACAGGGTTTCCACTGATCGACATCGTCCAAGGATGGAGTTAGCATACCTGCTGGCATGCGACTAAGCCTCTGACTCAACTTGTAGGCAGGTCATTTATAAACAGACTGATAAGCAGTGTACCAATGATTGAACCTTGGGGAATACCCATTCTGTTGTTTAAAAGGGATGACTTTGTCAACTCTCTCACACGGATCTTAAATTTTAAAATATGACTGAAACCAATCATGTAGACACCTAGATAGTTTGTATTTTCTGGAGTGAATCTTCAAATATTTTATCTTCCAGTATGTTATTATTTAGCTTTCAGTACCCTCTATTATTAGAACTTCTTTGGCACCTTTCAGCCCAAAAGTAATAATTTTGTGTTCAGCAATTGAACATAAGAGGGAGAAGCATCTGAAATAAATTGCAAACCTTCTGATGACATCAACCATAAATCCACCAATCTTCAACTGAAGCGGCCTGCTAGACTAATTCCATGTGTAGTATTTGGAATCAGGATTCATAAATCTCTAAATGAAGGAAAAAAGTGCTGACATAAAATGTAGGTAGGTTTAAAACAAAAGGATAATGTAAGGCATCAATCCATGCCTAAGTCTCCTCAGCATTGGTATATCTTTCCAGTAATAAGTTGACTTTAAAGAGACTGTGGAAAATATATGTTTTGCTTGAGGTATTCTGTCCATAAACATTACTAACTGTACACTGAAGATTGTCCATCTTTAAGATCAAGATAATCCAGTATTCAACACAGTGGTTCTTAAAGTTTTTCTGGCGTGACACAGTCAGAAACTCCCTCACGCCCAACCATTCTACAATAGGGTGGGGCGGCAGTAGCTCAGTGTGTAGGGACTTTGCTTGGGAATCGGAGGGTTGCTGGTTCAACAGACCACAGTATGGAGTGTGGACTGTTAGCTGGAGAGGTGCCAGTTTTACCTCCTGTGCACTGCTCATGGGGCACTGCTACCTAAAATAAAAAAGAGTGAAAAAAATAATTTCTCCAATAGGGGATTAATAAAGTAAATCTTAATCTTAAATTTTAGGGGAAGCTAACATTTGTGTCAACATTTTTCATCACTATTTCACAAATACACAAATACAAAAAAAATACAAATACAAATCTTTTAGGAAAGTTTTTTCTATATTATAGTGTCTGCTACAGGGGCAAGTTTAACGCAGTAATTTAGATTAATGATCTGTTATGGCCATATTTTACATTAAGTGAGCAGATTTATTTACTTTTTAAAATCTGTTTATTGGCATTTGAAATTAAACATATATACAAATCACAGATTCAGTAAATGTACACATTAAACCCCCCACCCCCAGCCCCCTCACCCCATTGTCCCAAATCCTCTAAAGGAAAGGAAAATACAACAGAGAAAATAATACCAGTCTTCACCTACATATGCAAATATATCCACTACTAGTCCCAGTTTGTCACATCAGTCATGTTATCAAAATAAGTCAGAAAAGGCATCCAGACCTTGTTAAACTTGTCCTTATTACCGCTCAGGGTGAATTTAATTTTTTCCAACTTACAAACATAATATCCCTGATCCATCTGACATGGGATGGGGGTTTGGAGTTCTTCCAATTTAACAATATTTGGCGACGGGCAAGTAAGGTAGTGAAAGCCACAGCACTGTACATGTTTGATGGCCAGTCACAGTCCCCCGATCTCACACCAAATAAAGCTATTAAAGGATGTGGATCAATAACCATACTAAAAACCTCACTCAAGGAATTAAATATCGCAAGCCAGAATGTGCGAAGAGTGGAACATGACCAAAACATATGTATTAAAGTCGCCGGTGCATGTTTGCACCGGTCTAAGTGAGCAGATTTTAAACCAACTGAAACCCCTCGTCTCATCCAGGCGTGTAGGACAGGGCTCAGCATTATTGGCCAAAAAGCTCTGGAGCTGGAAAACATTTCTGAGCCTCCTAAGGCTAATTTCTCACAACAGATAAAGCATCACGGTATAGCATAGCAGGGTTAGTGTTGAAAGCAAACAAATCCTCCAAGCTCTCGAAGCACTAATAATGGACCAGTGTGTAGGATTTAGTGGCATCTAGCAATGAAGTTTGAGATTGCAACTAACTGAACACTGCTGGTGTCTTGATTTGATGACCTGGGAATAAGAATGGGCTGAGAAGTGTGTAGGGGAAAGTATGGTCAAGAGCCATTGTTTGGTCTGTCCATTCTCGGCTACTGTAGTAACATGGCAGTTCAACATAGTGGCCTCAATAGAAATGGTAAATGGACCTGTACTGTAGCCTATAGCTTATACTTATAGAGAATGTAAGAATCAGTTATCGGCCTACATTTGTTACTGTTATTTGAACTGTTATTCCTAAAGACCCATGTGCGGCTCCAGAACTGCAGGTTTCCTACCCCTGGTGTAGAACCTGTGGCCCTATCTGGTAAAGCCAGTGTTTGGTTTGTCCGTTTTTGGCTACTGTAGAAACATCAATATGGCAGCCACCTTAAAAGAAGACTTACTCCCTCTGTAGATAAATGGCTCATTCTACACACACAGTGATTCTTATTTCCAGGTGATTATACACTGATGAAAACATACTTATGAATATTATATTCCATTTCTGCTAATAGAGCCTCCGAAATGTTACACACTGGACCTTTAAGCCATAATCATCTATTTAGAAGGTAGCCTATAGAAACATGGAGTCCGCAGATACTGAAAAAGAGCTGACAGAGCAGCAGGGGTGGAACCACGACAAACACAGAATAACTCATAACACACCCGGGTAGAAATGACTAAAAAGAAAGAAATCACATCGCTGCACAAACGAGAACGAAAAAGATTGCGTCACTGACAGACGCTGACGTCATTGTGTTTGTTAATAATACGCAGCTCGATGCGGCTGATCAGCTCCGTCCCTCAAAGGCCCCACCGTGCACACAAAGAGATGGAACACCCAGCGCCATTCACCCACATCACCCCCGATCTCCCTGCAGCCTCCTCTACCTCGTCCGAGCGGAAGAGCCGCAGTGTGGATGCTGCCATAACCCACCGCCCCATCATCCATCACAAGCACACACATCCTGCACCCATGGACGCATCCTGCTCGTCCGGCCTTTTTCCCCCGCAGCATCCCTTACCTCTCAGATGAAAATTCACACGAGCATTAATCCATGATCAGCTCGCTGTTATCGCTGCCTCTCGATCACGTTTCTCCCAACGTTGCGCCGCAGAGAAGGCGAAATAAATAATTATTAGGAGACAGCCCTGCCCGTTATGTCCTATCGGGAGGTGAGAGATGCGCCTTCCGAGCCCATAGAGACAAGAAGAGTAACCGGGTCCAAAAACAGAATTAATGAAACGCCGATGCACAACCTCCTCTGCAAAACCGTTCAGCTCTGTACAAAAGAACTTCTCTGTTGTGTTTTCGATCGCCTAGTCCTCCTCCACAACAGAGTGGCCCTCTCTGTCTCGTAATTTCTCCTCCACACACACACACACACACACATACACGCACACACGCACGCACGCACGCACACGCGCAGAGCGGAGCAGCTCTGTCAGTTAAAGAGATAGGATAGGGCAGCTGGAGCAGCGCTGTGCACAGAGCCACTCTGTCTATTTCTTATGTAACAGCAGTAGCTTCTGATTGTTCTGCATCCCAGCACACACACACACACACACACACACACACACACACACACACACACACACACACACACACACACTTTACAGGCTTTACCTGTCATTGGCTGGTCAGTGGCATACAAAGACTGTGATGGGAATTCTGGCTCTTTTAGTGATCGAATATCACTTCCCCCAGTAACTAGTAGTGTTGCTATAAATTGAATTAATTGTTGTAATTGTGGAGGAAACTAGTTTGGAATATGGAAACACTTACATTCACTATTACTTTTGAAAGAGTAATGAGTAATAAATAAAAAATTTTGAGTAACTAACCCAGTATATTTCCAGAATACCATAATTTTACATTATGTTTGGTATAGAAGTCTTAAATAATGTAAAAACACCAAACACTATTATACAAGTACAATTTATTCCTAAACTATTTTAGTAGTCTCGTAGTCTCACCATGTGTAAGAGGGCCCACTGCCTCCTCTGCTGTGCATCTTTCACTGATCTTGAGATTCAAAGTTTGCTGTTGGGAAGGCTGTAACATGTTCTGTTGGTATGATAGTGTCCAAACAGAATCAGATGTAGTTAGAGACAGTTTTAGCCAGCTGATCATTGTTATCAGCAGAGTCTTTTTCTCTTTCATTTGGACTTGGCCTCTCTTAAAAAGTGATTTGTATGTTGGGATGAGATGGATAGCATTATGACAAGTCAGATGGCCCAAGTCTATAGATCTGCATCCATAATGCATTAGGATCCATCTTTGTGGCCAAACGACAGTGGTACTAAACCAATCAGTATCCTTTGAGGAACTACAGGCAGCTACAAGGGTAGGTGCAAGGTGTGACGCAGCGAGAAGACACTGTTCATTAAACAACAATAGTGGCTGCTCCCATAGAGGTTAGTGTAGATGCTGCAAACATCAGTTATATCGGAACCTGAGAATGTTTCTTCATTAAAAAAGAGCAAAGAATGGCACTGAAGGCTTTTCTTCATGGAAAAAATGTTTTGATTCTTCACCTGACTGGCTTCAGTAAGAATTTGACTACATTATATGGTTCTTTGATCTGATTGGTTGAAGTTCCGCTGTTATAGACGCTGATAGACAGATGGTTTATCCAATCACCTGCCAAGTACTCTTTGAATGTGCCTGCCCTTTTTCAAGCCATTTCAACCAACGACTTTAAAGATTGTTCTGTGTGACAACCTATCTGGCTTTTCAGACAATTCAGATATTAATATTTAAGAGTACAAAAAGTATAATGATATAGCTGCAAGCTATAGAGATACTGTTTATATGTTTCCTTCACATATATATTTGAAATTTCTCTCTATATTATTTGTTGATTATTATCAGCTGACATTTATGCTGATACTGATATTGTTGCAATAAGCTCATGTCAACGATACAGCCAATTTTTGGCCCATAATTTTCAATGAATTAGTTGCCAGTTTTACAGCTTTTGGCATTGTCCTCCAATTGAGTCCATCTGCTCCACAGTAGGGATTAATCTTAGGTGAAAAAAGAAAAGCGAAAAGGCTTTATTATATTTTTATGGCTTAATGTTGAAAAAATATGGCTAAATGAATAATGTTTTTTCTCTAAATAAAGCAATGTAGCTACATGGCTATTGAAATGCAGATGAGAGACACACATCCCCCACAGAGGACTAAAATGCACTACAACAGACAACAGCCTAGAACCCGAGGTCAGGTATGAATTTTAGATTTTTATTTTTTTTAGATGTGGGGATTGAGATTTTTGTACTTTTTATATGGATATATGTTTAATTTAAAGGTTTTTTGTTGGTGTAGGTATGTTTTTATCAGTGTATTATCACCTGAATATAGAATCAATCAATAATTATGTTTTTGTATCTACAGATGCCGTGGGTACATGTTGAACCACCATGTTTCTACAGTCGCCCAAAAGGGACAAACCAAACTCCAACTCTGGATAGGGGCCTTTGCGTTTTTCGTCTGTTTCACAGCCACTGTAATTTCTCCCTCATGCTTGGAAGAAGAGGGTGAAGCGATGGAGTCGCAATTTATAGCTACATCGCTAGATACCACTAAATCCTACACACTTGAAATTCCTCATTAAGATACGTTTATCTGCAGTTTATTAATGCTGTCCTCAGCAACAAAGCAGGTCATTCAGTGAAGGAAATGCTGTTCATGTTTGTGATCAAATTCCTGTTACCAAAATATGAGTATAAACTTAAAAAGGTAATTAATAAGTAATGTAGTTTAGTCCAGATACACTCAGAAATACAAGACACTGATGATTGAATGAAAGACTAAATGTCCCAAAACATAAACTGATGGCTCCCTACCTGGGGTTGGGACCAAACTTTTAGGGGAAACAAGAACATTAAAGAGATAAGTAAAACAATTGATATTTTGGTTACACATAAATATATTTATTTTTTATGAATGTTCTCTATTTTGCCTTTATATTGTCAAAATTGGTGGTGTGTGGGTTTTTTAAAGGCAGTAACTGTGCTGTGAGGTCACAAGTAGACGTTGCTTCATTGCACAAGCAAATCAGTTTGGGAATCACTGCCATACACCTCCTTCTGGGGATTTGTCCTGATATGGGCATCACCCTCAATGAGGAAGTGACGCTACGGCTCACTGCCTCTCCTCCTCTGTTTGTTCTGTATCTTTCAGGCGAGCATAGCACAGCTGCCTCTGATTCTCTCCGTGTCTTTCTTTGTGTGTGTATGTGTGTGTGTGTGTCTCTCTCTCTGTCTCTCTCTCTCTCTCTCTCGCAAGAGGCCAGAAGCTGGAGAGCTTTCTATTTATAGAATCCTACCCGCCTGTTCAGCCTCCAACCGCCTTCGGCACAAAGAGTTACACCCACAGACACACACAAAGCATCCATGGACAGCAAGCATGCAAGCACAACACACAGGGCGTTGCATGTTATGTTCAAAAAGTGAATTCATGCATTTACACTGTAAATACAAAAACACAGTATGCACACATTAACAAAAGCCGGCATATAATGTCACGCGCAAAGCAAAGCCTAATAAAAACCCAGAAATACACATCATAGTGTACATACTATTGCATTAATAATGCCGGGAGGAACACTGCCTGTAATATATAGAGGGGGAGGGGGCTTCTACAATGTAGCCTGACAATTACTATTGCCCTGTTTGTGTGTGTGTAGTAATAATAATAAGCTGTTGTTCATCCATTCAGCCTATCACTCTCAGACACAGCTACCACACATTAACACTAAAAATACCCCCTTGTTGCAGCAACAACAGTTTGCAGTCTTACCTGAACTTGTCATGTTAGCATGTGATGTCAGGTTAAAGTCCAGATGAAGTGAAAAATGGCTATTTAACCCTTCAAGATTACATTCCCAGTCATATTGTGCTAGTTAGCTTGTGAGGCTGATGTTAGTGAAATCATCCCTGGCGAAAATCCGGCAAAAATTCCCTGTCTCAAATTGGCCTCTGTCAGCATCGGATGCTGTATTGAACCTGGTCTGATCTTGCTGTTCACTTTATCACTCATTTGAAGTCGTGTTTCCGGCCCCCTGGTGAATGGAAGTCCAATATTAATTGCCTATATTGCCTATATTTTTTACCTGTGGCCGGACAGGAGCTGCAGATTAAGGTCATAATTCTCTTCATGTTCATCAACAGAGATCCCTTGCACATTGTCACACTGTTTTCACACAGTCATTTGATACATTGTTATTGAAACAATATCAATTATAGCTGCTTTAACATTCTTGGAATTATAATTTCTAGCATTTATTTAATATTTTTCATAATAATTACAGTAACTAAAGTAAGTAAAGTAACGTTGAATTGAGTTGAGTTATCCTTTATTCATTCTCTGCATTTGACCCATCCTAAATACAAGGAGCAGTGGGCATCTGTCCAACAGTATTTAATCCATGAAAGGACACTTTCAAAGACAAACAGGCAAGATACAGCAGTTGATTTGGGGAGAGTCATACACTGGTTTCCACCAGAGAAAGATTGAAACATCTGTCATCAGCCTTGTCCCCTCAGAATTAAGACTGCTGTGGTATCATCTGCTGACACTAATGTCCCACAGACATTTAGAAAATGTCATTGTTTGGTTTTTAAGCATTCTGATTATCATATTCAAAACTATGTGTAGATGTGAATGAATGAGCTCTAATTCACAAGCAAACACGTGCGCTCGTGTAAGAGCATGCACTGCAGTGAAGATGACTCAGCCACTAGCGCTGATGGCATGGCAACACTACCTCTTTGCAATCAGTCTCTTAGTAACTGCGCGGTTGCTGAGGAAGGAACCCGAGTGTAGAGGTTTGTGTGTGTGCGTGTGTGTTATGACTCTAGCTAGTTCATTGAGTGGATACTAAAATTAGAACAATTAGAAACAAATAACTTTTTGAAATGCCCTTGGAATTTTTTAAGATGATTTGATCAGCTACCTTTTAATTAATTGGTCAATTAATTAGAAAATACCATAGGAAGATGGGAATGTGTTCACTTTTCTCCTTTTTCACTTTCAAGTTCTTTATTAACATTGACATAACCGTCAGGCCTACAGTGAAGCAGCCATTGGCAATTCAATTATTAGGTCTCAGGCACCCTCCAACAATGCTCATATAAATATGCATAAAAAAGAAAAATCTGAATGTAAGAAATAAAGACAGAAAATCCAGAAATTAAAAAATAGGAATAAAGTATAATACAGAAATATGAAATAAAATAAAACTAAACCAACTAAAATGTTATACTCTGGTAAACAAGTGAACTATAATAACAGCTGTGCGTTCATCGGCCAGGACCAGTCCATCAACAGCAGGTGCTGTCACTCCAGAAGGCATGCAGCTTGGACTTAAGGCTGCTCCTAGCTGATGTCCGGTTTTGCACGAAATGGGACTGTTATACCCACATCTTTATCAGATTCAGAATCAGAATCAGAAATACTTTAGTGATCC